TTTATTTATTTATTTATATTTAATTTATTTATTATTTACTTACTTACTAATTTGTTTATTTATTTACTTTTGAGATAGAATGCCACTGCATTCAGTTCATAACTTTTGATACAGCTGACCAACAACACCTCTTTTCTCTTGTTTTCTGTCCGTTTATATTGATATTTCATATGTATTTCAAACGTATAAAAAAAGACATGAACATGCAAATAAGCAGACAGAAAGCAGTATTTACAAATGATGAAAAGCATAATGTAAAGCAGTTGTCAGTGTATAGTTAGTGTGATTTACACATCCGAAAATAAGTGGGAGGAAGTATAAACTTATTAAATCCCACCCCTTCTCCATAAGTCATTGAGTGACATGAAACATGCAGCTTCCTTATATAGATAATACTATACCTAAGACTAAATATACCATTGTTATTACCTTTTAACTTTGTCACACAAAAGTAAACCATGTGTATAAAACTAATTACCAAATATCTATCTTACTAAAATCTTAGTATATCATATAAAATACCCATTATCCATGACTTACAAGTATAAACATGTGTTATATCTATAAAACCAATTGTCTTTGCCTTACAAAAAAATGACGACATATTAGCATTGTGTATTTGTCCTTGCTTTAGTCCTTAAGTGAGAGGTCAGATTTCCATAGAATATAGTTCCTCTACAGTGTCCATCCACTGACCTGGAGGGTCACATTTCATCCAGCTCCTAGTAATGACCTTTTTTACAAGCCAGTATCAGGATTTTTCACAGATAAATGTCCTCAGGTATCAGTCCCATGTTCACAATCTGTGGATCATTTGGAATCTTGTACCCAGAAATTCCGTCAAGGATCGGAATAACCCTTTTGCAGAATGTTTGTGATTGTATACGTGACCAAAATATATGGGAGTGATTAGCATTCACCTGCCCACAGAGTCTCCAGCAGTGCTGTTGTTTATCTAATTGTTTATATTTAGTATATGTCATGATAAAAACATGGATTTGATTCTTTCAGGAGAATTCTCTCCTTCTTTTAGAGCTGGTGAAGGCACCACCTTGTGACTATTGGTTCTGCAACCTTTACTATTAAATGAGCCATTACTGGCCAAAGAAAAAGGAAAAAAATCTGTCTGGAGCTGCAAAATATATTTGAATAAAGGTAACAGCCTATTAAGTCTGAATTAGCCCATCATCATTATAAACAGGTCTAAATGAGCATCCATTAGTATGATTTACTACAAGGTGGCTACACTGTCAGTTGGTTATTTATATTTATTTACTGTCACTCTGCAGTGTTGGTGGTGAAAGCAAATGAATCTGTCCACACACTATTAAATCCTCTATTTTCCTCCAATAATTTTCCTTTTTTTTTTTGATTTGTAATCCATAGCTAACCTCGCTAGAGAGACTTCAGGCCCCCGCTGCTGAAGTTTAGCAAAATTTAGAGGGAAAGGCTCCAGGTCATAGATGTAAGACGAACATTTTAGCTGATGAAACGTAAAAAAAAAGTATTCTATATATAGGCTTCACATTTATACAATCAAAGAATGCAGTAATCACTTTAGGCCCGTTTCCACTGAAGAAGTTCCTGGTACTATTTGGGGGCAGGAACTACTACAGGAACGTCCTCTCGCTCGGCCCTCTCAACCGCCGTGTCTCCACTGAGAGAGCGGAGTAGGAGGAAGGTTCCTGTAAAATTACCGGGCTCTGGATGTGGCGTAATCGTTGCGCGACCATTTTGACCAGGGTGATGTAGGGACGCCGTTAGCCGTTAGCCGTTAGCAGTGTCTGTAATAACTCAATAAACAGTCCATGAAAAAAATATTTTTTCCAGCGGATGTCTTAGTTACAACATGATTGAGCTAACTGGAGTAGTTTCATGTCGTATCCGTCAACGGGAGGATTTTAACAGATGATGTCTTGATGTTAGCTTTGCTGCTGTTAGCTGTCCCTGTCAGCTGCAGCCACTGGTGCGTTCTAGACATCGTGATTTCCCAAAACTGAATAAATACCACACATAGCAACACAAAACTGCTTTGCTAGCTCAATCATGTTGTAACTAAGATATCCGCTGGAAAACATATTTTTTTCACGGACCCTTTATTGAGTTAATGAGTTATTACAGACACCGCTAATGGCTAACAGCTAATGGTTAGCCAGCTAATCTACGATAACCATGTTATTAATTACAAAACATGCACACAAATAGTAATGTTTGTTCAATCATTGTGGTTATAGACTTTACAAACATCAGATTAGTCTAAACGGTGATATAGTGACGTGAAAAAGATGTGAGATATATATATATACAGTACAGGCCAAAAGTTTGGACACACCTTCTCATTCAATGCGTTTTCTTTATTTTCATGACTATTTACATTGTAGATTCTCACTGAAGGCATCAAAACTATGAATGAACACATGTGGAGTTATGTACTTAACAAAAAAAGGTGAAATAACTGAAAACATGTTTTATATTCTAGTTTCTTCAAAATAGCCACCCTTTGCTCTGATTACTGCTTTGCATACTCTTGGCATTCTCTCCATGAGCTTCAAGAGGTAGTCACCTGAAATGGTTTTCCAACAGTCTTGAAGGAGTTCCCAGAGGTGTTTAGCACTTGTTGGCCCCTTTGCCTTCACTCTGCGGTCCAGCTCACCCCAAACCATCTGGATTGGGTTCAGGTCCGGTGACTGTGGAGGCCAGGTCATCTGCCGCAGCACTCCATCACTCTCCTTCTTGGTCAAATAGCCCTTACACAGCCTGGAGGTGTGTTTGGGGTCATTGTCCTGTTGAAAAATAAATGATCGTCCAACTAAACGCAAACCGGATGGGATGGCATGTCGCTGCAGGATGCTGTGGTAGCCATGCTGGTTCAGTGTGCCTTCAATTTTGAATAAATCCCCAACAGTGTCACCAGCAAAACACCCCCACACCATCACACCTCCTCCTCCATGCTTCACAGTGGGAACCAGGCATGTGGAATCCATCCGTTCACCTTTTCTGCGTCTCACAAAGACACGGCGGTTGGAACCAAAGATCTCAAATTTGGACTCATCAGACCAAAGCACAGATTTCCACTGGTCTAATGTCCATTCCTTGTGTTTCTTGGCCCAAACAAATCTCTTCTGCTTGTTGCCTCTCCTTAGCAGTGGTTTCCTAGCAGCTATTTGACCATGAAGGCCTGATTGGCGCAGTCTCCTCTTAACAGTTGTTCTAGAGATGGGTCTGCTGCTAGAACTCTGTGTGGCATTCATCTGGTCTCTGATCTGAGCTGCTGTTAACTTGCGATTTCTGAGGCTGGTGACTCGGATGAACTTATCCTCAGAAGCAGAGGTGACTCTTGGTCTTCCTTTCCTGGGTCGGTCCTCATGTGTGCCAGTTTCGTTGTAGCGCTTGATGGTTTTTGCGACTCCACTTGGGGACACATTTAAAGTTTTTGCAATTTTCCGGACTGACTGACCTTCATTTCTTAAAGTAATGATGGCCACTCGTTTTTCTTTAGTTAGCTGATTGGTTCTTGCCATAATATGAATTTTAACAGTTGTCCAATAGGGCTGTCGGCTGTGTATTAACCTGACTTCTGCACAACACAACTGATGGTCCCAACCCCATTGATAAAGCAAGAAATTCCACTAATTAACCCTGATAAGGCACACCTGTGAAGTGGAAACCATTTCAGGTGACTACCTCTTGAAGCTCATGGAGAGAATGCCAAGAGTGTGCAAAGCAGTAATCAGAGCAAAGGGTGGCTATTTTGAAGAAACTAGAATATAAAACATGTTTTCAGTTATTTCACCTTTTTTTGTTAAGTACATAACTCCACATGTGTTCATTCATAGTTTTGATGCTTTCAGTGAGAATCTACAATGTAAATAGTCATGAAAATAAAGAAAACGCATTGAATGAGAAGGTGTGTCCAAACTTTTGGCCTGTACTGTATGTATATACGTGTAAGTATTTGTAAACAACAAGGCAATTTCCTCTATAGTATAGTGAGCCGGTGACAGTTGAAAAATCTCCCTTCCGGGGTTCCATTCCCCTGTCGGGAGTTATTTTTCAACAGTCACCGGCGCACTATACATTATCCCTTACGGAAGGAGCTGAGGTGGTTGCTGTGTTTCTGGTGTGTCTCTTCGTTTAAATGGCGGTGGAAGCTATATGAACGAGCTAACCCTCGTCTGCGGAGTTTTAAAAATGCTGGCTATTTTGTAACTTTCTGTTGACGTCACATCCCGCCTTGAGCATATCCAATCAGCACCAAGTAAACCCCAAGCCCCAGCCAGGAGTTTCTCGGGGCCGTTCTGAGTACCTACTCCGAGGCAGGGACTTGTTTAGCCCCTGTAAAAGTTCCAGAACTCTGTCCTTCGGGGTGGTTCCTGCGGTGGAGACACACACCAACAGCCCCAGCCCAG